TCAGACACTGTCTTTTCACATGAATGTTCTAAATATTGTTGTTGTTTGCTGGAGAGCGATCCCTCAGTTAAGGGAATAGTGGAAGTTGCACTATTGTGGATTCTGAATATGGACAACACAAATAAAAAATAAACTTTATTGATCAACTGACTGATGGATGTAATAAATATTTTTTTATTAGATTGCACAATCCAGTTTCTAGTGTTTACTGGATCGCACAATCCCTCCCCTGCTGGTTATAGTATTTTTGTTATATCACCACAGTATATTCCTTGTATGTGTAAAGCTGCTTGGCAAAAAAAAGAAACCTGATTCTGAATTTTGGGGGACAACATCGAGTAATCTCCCGCGACGCATAAACACAACACAGGACGTGAGAGGTCGTCGGGAGGTCACAGAACCGGAAGTGACGGAATTTTCCGCAACACCGCTGAAACCTGGCAACCTCGGCCAATCACAGTTCAACTTGGAATAACGTCTTTGCGAGTGCGACATCCCGCCTTGTTCAGAACCGCAGAAGTTTGTCTGTTACTCGGAAAATAAGTGAAAACCCTCCGACATCAAACCCGAGGAGTGAGGTGAGCGACACGCTGGAGTTTAACCCGCCGGCCATGACGTGAAATTCAATTTCTCCGACAAGCTAACGTCCCAAAAAAAAAAAGAAGACATTTGTAATTAGCTAACTAGCTTCAATGCTAATAGTTTTTTGCTAAATCACTCCCGGGCGGTAGACACGTTGATATACAGTGATTCTTTTTTAAACTGTTGAGTGTGTGTGTGTGTGTGTGTTTCTGACCGGCTGATGGCCACTGTGCTCCGCTGAAGGTCCGTGTGAGAGATGGGGAGAGAGAAGGAGGCTAAAGGAGACGGGAAGCCCAAACACAAGGCTGCGAAACTGAAGAGGCTGAGTGACCATGACAGTGCCGGGGCCGGTGGAGACACGCTCAGAGACAGGTGTGTGTGTGTGTGGCACCGTTTAGCCACCTCCATCAAGGTTTGATCAAGTTTGACCAACCAACATGTTACTTGAATGACTTCCTGTCATGACAGCACAGTTACAGCAGCAGTGATCAACACAGTACACATCCAAACTAGTCTTTCCACAGATTTAATCAGCATTTCCGGAGCCTTCGAAGGGGCCTGAGTGAGATTTATTCGAGGATAACTTTTGTTCTACCTCATTAAACGAGTTGTGACACCTCCCACTTGCTGTAGTTTTTCGTTTCCTCACAATACTTTTGTGTTACCTCGCAGCGCTCTCCTGTTCCCGTCGTGCAACATAGTCATTGCAACATAGGTGATTAAGGTGTCACCTTACATTTGTGTTGCGATCCTTTCCCTTTCCCATCGTGCAATATCATCATTTCATTATCGGCGCACACAAGTGTGCATTCATCTGTATCCACACAGTTGCCAGAGTACACATACAGATACTGTTTCCAAATGAATGAGACAGAATCCTGTAGATCACTGCACTGTGTTCTTCTGGAGAGACCTCTGAAGCTGAGAATTTGTTTCAGGTTACTGTCACCAATTAATTAACCATTAACCATGGAGAACTTGAGTGGAAATGGGCTACATGTTAGAGTGTGAATACCTCAGCCGGATTGGGTTTGGACAAAAATGTTTGAATTTGAAGTTTGCTTCAGGTCAGGTCAGCCACGTTGGCTGGGTGAATAAGGAAATAACCATGTGTTAGAGACAGGGAAACAAAAGTTCAGTTTACGTTAACTCGATTGGGCTCAGATCTGTTTCAGACACAAGAGAAAAACAGAATTGTGGGTTGAGGAGGGGCTGAGTGAATATTGTATCTTTTTACATTTCCTCCATAAAGTTAAGTGCTTATTTAGTTTGACGCACTCTTTGTAAGAAGCTGTCCAGTATAACTATTATGCCATCTCCCAGGACTCCTGCGACAATAGGCTGCTAGGGTTTTATGTAACAACATACCTGTTAATCAATGCTTTGACAATAATTCACACATTTCATTTAACCTGATAATGTTATTTACTACACGTTGAAATATTTATAGAGGCAGAACATAGTCATTTTCTGTTCCAAGTTTAAAGTTCATTTGAGGGACCTGCATATAAGTGATTGTTTGAACGACTGCCACAATTTAATGAATCAACAATCTAATTCAAGGAACAAAAACATGTTTACGATGAACATAACAAATCAGACAACTTTTTGTACAGTTAACAGTGATGGATGTAGCCACAACCCCTAACTGAGACACTTAATCATCAACCTTGCATCATCTCTAGAGAAAGAAAGAATAAAAATGGGGTTAAACTATCTGACTTTTTTTACTAATGATGTCCTGAATTGTCCAGAAAATATGTCCTGCAGAGTAGGACCTTGATAAATTAATCTGGATTAAAAAAAAAAAAACTACCTATTGTGGTGATAAATCAGATAAGAGCAGAGAGCAATATGGCAGAAAATGTGTGAAACTGCAGGACAGACACAACAAAGGGTTACTTCTGCTGCGCTGGCTGTCGAGGAGGCCGGTGGCATCAAGTGCATGCATTAATTTCACTGAGTACAGTAGGTACTCAATCACCATATGAATAAATTAATTTACCTTGATATTTGATGCGTTTATTGCGGTGCATATGTGAAGAGACAAATGAATGCAGAGTGATCTGTCACTGGTTATGTAATTGATGAGAGCAGAGAGATGAATAGACACCTGTGAGCACTGCTGGCAGCAGAGCAGGCAGCTCTCTGTGACAGCCCAGCCATGTGTTATTTCACTGCACACTGACTGAATTACTGATTAAGGATCAGCTTATCATCCTCTGCTGTAAGACTCATGGAATTAATTTCCCCCCAACATAGAAGTGCCTCCTGCCTTAACTGTTATATTTCCATAGTCAGATGTTCAAAATTTGGATTTCTAAAATTGCTCAGGAATAATTGCAATACTCAATTTAATGATACATCAATCCCTGAAGTCTGGAAAGGTCAAATTGAACAGAAACATGTTCAAAGCTGTTGGGGGATCCTCAAGTACACTACTTGTCTGATTGGTGTCATTTTATAGCTCTGTCAAAGTAGAACGATGCTAACCAGGGAGAGGCAGGAATCTAACTCTAATCAGTTTAATACGCTCCTTCTTTAAGCCTGCACTTGAAAAGTGCAGCTCAGACTGTCTCTTAGGGGCCCTTTCAGTCAAGTCACAGTTATAGGGAAAATTTATTATTTCTTGCACTTTTACTATTTTCCCTGACTGCTCATGTGTTACAAATACTGCATCGTTAACAAGCCTTTTTCTCTTTCTCTCATTGTCGTCCCATTCCCATCTTCACAACCTGACGAGCAGCACAAAGCCAAATAAATCTGCAGAGAAAACCGATAATGGAAAGTCTAAGAAGGTGAATCACATTTTCTTCTCTTTGCTCTATATTGAATAGAAGTTATCTAATTTTTTGGGGACTGATGCTAATATTAGGGAGTATAAAAATCATCCCAATACTGATGTGTATATATATATATTTAAAAAATTGGGCAATAATTCCTTAGATGTTATCAAAGTTTTCGATAAAGACATGCAATTGCACATTGGTAAACAAACACTGACACCGATATGTTTGTAAAGGGCTCACATCAGCTGCTATTATTGGCCAACCCATTTATTAGTCATGTGCTAATATCAAGCTTTTCATCTGGCTAAAATTTGACCTGCTGTCACATTTACGTCAATGGAAATTCAGTGTCATCTTCTTGGGTTTGTCATGGTCATGAGAGTCCATCCAGAACTCGTGCCCTCTCTGGAATCAGCATATCAGATACCAGGCTGAAATTTCCAGCCCCTGTCACCTACTAACCTCTGCTCACACTGACACAGCCCGAGTATGTGCAGCAGCTTGTTCTAGCAGGTGTCCGATTCCCACAGCACTGTTCACGTACATGCATTTCAATATCCAGGCTGTCGGAAGTAATTATTTTAGGGCAGTATTTTAATTACAATGTTTAAATGGTAACGCAATTCATCCGATGACTTTAATCCTTGTACTGCCTCTGACTCCACCGCACAGTGCTGCATGTAGGGTTGCAACTAAGGATTGTTTTTATTAAAATTCATCTGAAAGCAAATTTTTTTACTGTAAGTCGATGAATATGAAGTTGAAAAATCGCCATGGTGACATCTGAGCAGTCCAAAAAAAATCAAAGGCGTGCACAAACAGTGTAAAACAGCAAAATCTCACATGGTAGAAGCTGGAAATGGTCAAGTAATTGTATTTTTGCTTGATAATTGATATTTGATTAGTATCTTGTTGATAGACTGATCAGTTATACTTAATTATGATCTCACCCTCTTTATCAATGAAACAATACATTATCCAGGTAAAGATTTAACTTCAGTGTATAAATCTACATGCAGACTCCTAGAAGACATGATATGACCTGCACACCTTTGTAGATAAGCTAGATGATGTGTTCCAATGCACAGTGTCGTCCGAATTTATGTTTTATTATGATTTAATGCATGTTCTCCCCTCAGGTCAAAACACCTAAGACAGAGACCCAGGAGTCAGCCAACAGTCTCAGGTAGGGATGAAGTCTTTATTTCAGTAGACTGAATGATATACTGACAAAATACTTCTGTTTTATTTTTCACAATTTTTACTCCTCTTTCTCTCGTCTTTCCTCTGAGACGATGGAAAATAATCCTTGTTTTTTATGTTCATGGGCCATAGAGAAAAGCTGTTCCCATTTTATACTTTTAATTTTACTCTGCGCTGAAGACAAATATCTGTGGCTTGTCAGAAAAGTAATAAATGTAAATGCGTGGTTTGAGTAGTTGGATGCTCAGCGGGGCATAGCCAGGAAGGCAGACTTTGGCCGAAGGCGTGCTGAGTCAAATCTGTCTCACAGCGGTGTTTTTATGCAGTTGCTAATGGATTGTTTCCCAGATGCAGACTCAGCCCAGCCCAAAACAATGAGGGACATTTTAAAGGAGATATCTGTTGAAAAACTATTTTGTCAAATTCTGGCTTTTAATGTTTCCCTTCAGGGTTTTATTTCCCCTCAGAAAAGGCTCAGGTGGTGACTGTGATAGTTGAGTGGGTTTCATGCAGGGGAGAAAGTTAAGGCAGCAGAGTTAAGGAAGAAACATAAGGCTATTAGAACCACTGACTGTAAATGTCAATGGACGCAGTGACCCACCTTCCTTTGTAAAGCTTTTTATGGATTTTGCTCAACGGTGCGGTCGGTATGTACCAAAATAACATGACCATTTCTACACATGCTTTTTTCTTATATATTCACATTGAGTAGTTGAGCTGAACAGCTGAACCACATTTACAATGTGAAAATAAAAAGAACACAGATAATGTTAGAAAATGTCTTTCATACATGAAATTTATTGTGGATATAAAAAAGGCTTTTGTAGTTTGTCAACCGTGAAGGTTAAGAACATAGATGTGTCAGTCATTTTCTAAGGAATAAATGCGATCTTGACACTGACAGCTGAAGGCAGGCGGTTGAGTTTCTGCATTTACTTCATACATAAAAAAAACCTCCATCTCTGACAGGAGATGACGCACACAGATTTATACAAAGGGAACTTGATGGAATCAGTTTAATAATTGTGTCTATATTTGGCCAATATTCTCCTGAATTTACTGAAAGAAACATACTCTGATATACAGTCTTCAAGTCTGAAAGTATTTGGACAGTTGCATGTTTTGTGTTTTCCTTGCTCTGTGGTGATACTGCATAAAAGTGTCAAGTCTCAATTGTCTCAAAAGTCTCATTCAAACTGAGTGTTCTGAAACACACAGGCAGAAACTGTCAAAATCCTTACACGAATAGTTTTGTGTTGTAAGGATGATGACTACATGAATGCTGTCATAAGAATTGGAGTATGAAATGACAGTGTGATTGGATTTTTGTGTAGTGTAAGTGCACTGACTGCAGATTCTCCTGTGAGGATTTGCTGGAAGAAGAAAGAATACTTGGCAGAAGGGTTTTGGGTAAAATGTCAATAAATGATGAACATGACGTAAAGGTCAGTTAGCGTTAAACAATTAATTATAATATTATTGAAATTGCAAAAGTGAAACATCCAAATCGCTGAAGCTGCAGTTTTATTATAAAGGTAAAATCTGTTACAACACACCATTATAAATGAAGCCTTGTGCTACAGAGATGCCTCGGCATGCAAATGATATTCTCCAGACTTCGGAAAAAATCTAATTTTTTAAGTGAATGAAAAATCACCATTCCTACTAATCTTGACTCCACATGTGTGCGCGTGTGCGGTGATGGAGAGAGAAGAGCCAGGTCACTGAGAAGTGTAAAAACACTTGCAATAAATAAAAAATCAATATCTGGCGGTCAGTGTAAATGTTGTAGTAGTGGCCACAAATAATTGAATGTATTGGAAACACTGAGAGGTGTAGAAACACTTTCAGTTCATTATGAAGCTGCAGTGGGTCAAGGCGATCCTTCGGATGTGGCCCAGGATGCATTTGTGTTCCGTTCACACAGCTAAGAGTGGCCACATGTGTTCCACACCACTCTCAAAACCGTCTTCAATGCATGTTCAGCATGATCATTAAGACCAAATTATGGCGTGTTTTTTTTTTGCCAGTTTACAGATGTGCGATTGTGTCAGTGTGACAAGAAGAGAGCGGAGTCAGGAGAGGCTGCAGCTTTACAATGAAATACTTTACTCATTTTAAATAAATAGAAAGATCAAGGTAGCGGTCACTGTGAATATTGTAGTAGGACACATAATTGTATGTGAAACACTGAGAAGTGTAAAAATATGTTTGGGTCATTGTAGCGGGTCAGAGGATGTCAGCTGTGTAGGTGGTCCTTTAGACATAGACCAGGTGCATTTGCATTCACACAGCTAAGAAATTCAGTTATGACACGTATTACCCCAGGAATAAGAAAAATAAACAGTTATGTGCTTTCCCCCAGTTCTCCCTTCACTGAATGTTATCTGAAGCAAAGAGGTCCATTGATATTTATTAGCAGCAGTGACTGTAATTTGTTGATTTCTTAATTAGGCCCATTTCCCCACCCACCACTTGCTCACTTTGCAGGGAAATCCAAGTTTTCAGAGGTCATTTATTTTTCTTTTCTAATTGCTATAATTATAGCATTATCATTAGTGTTTTGATAATTACTGTCATTATGTGTGATTTCTTGTGGTCAGCAACCTTTATTCCGAATGACAGGCTAATTTAGTCCTTACACTTGAGCCAGCCTGTGGCAGACAGCAGTGAAAGCTTCTGCCTCATTATTAGCATGTTAAGTCAGGGTGATTGAAAATTAACATTTCAAGTGAGATGTGAAAGACACAATAGAATAAAAAACATCAGTTAGGATCAGGGTCAAATAATATAATAAAATAATAATAATAAAAATCAATAAAATGTTTAATTAAATTGAGATTAAAAACATTGCTTTCTTTGTGTGAACTGGATTTTAAAACGGGCGGGTAATTGAACTAAAGCCTCATCCAGTATAAAACTATAAATCTATGAGGCCACAAATCAGACTGACTTCAGATTGGAAAGAGATAAAAAAGAAACATTATTAGCTAGTGCTAAGATTATAACGTCATTAAAATTTGAATTCTGGATGCTGAGTCTTTTTTTGTGGTTCAGTTATTTGGTGAAAGAGGAGCCAGAGGAGGAGGACTTTACCGTGAAGAAGAAAGGGTTGAAAAGGAAAAGAATTAAAGACGAGCACATGGACAGTCCTTCGCATCCTACTGCAAAAACTAAGTAAGTGTGACCTGGTATCTAAGCTGTGTATCAGCCTGAAATTAAACAAGTCTTTACATGTAGGCTTTTATTCATATTAGAGTTTGGTTAATAAAGCTGCATTTTATAGGTGCTTTTTTTTTTCTTCTTCAAGAATTTGTGTAAGGAATTTCTATTCTCTCCATCTCTTGGTAACTTCAGCTCCAAGAAGAAAAAAAAGCTACCTGGGCTGGAAGACGAAAGTGGCAGAGAAGCTCAGAAAAAGAAGTCAAAGAAGAGGGCAGAAAAGGTAAACATGGGTTTTCTCTGTGGAGATCTGTCTCCATCAGTAATACTCCCACTATTTGAAGTTTTCTGGAGATTAGGTTCACAGTGGGAGCCTATTAAATTGACATTTAAGTGTCTCTTTCTGACACAGGCAGTAAAGAAGGAGGAAGGAGAGCACCCAGTCTCCCAAAAACCTAAGAAGACAAAGCAGGAGGTTAAGGAGGCAAAACTGCTGAAGATCAAAAAGAAAGAAGAGGAGGAGCAGAATCGCTGGAGATGGTTTTGAAATGCTTCTTTCTCATATTGTATATAACTGACACACACATCTTCTATATTTGTGAGGATACTCATTGACATTATATTTCCTTGCCCAAACCTTAACCCTCACAATAAAACCCCCAACTAAAACCTAATTCTAACCTGAACATTAAATCCATGGACTGTGTATAAAGACTGTCACTTTTTAAAAATATGCTCACTCCGCAAGGTCTGTTATTCAAACAGGTCCTCACAAAGATTGAAGTACAAGTGCTTACACACACACACACACACACACACACACACACACACACACACACACANACACACACACACACACACACACACACACACACACACACACACACACACACACACACACACACACACACACACACACACACCCCAACTACATGGAGACTGAAGTGGAGCAATTTCTTTGATTCATCCTAATTGTTTCACCATGCTGCTCCCATCAGGTGGGAGGAAGAAAAATATGAACATGGGGTGAAATGGAAGTTCCTGGAACACAAAGGACCTTACTTCTCCCCTGAGTACCAGCCTCTACCTGATGACGTTCACTTTCTCTACAAAGGTCAGTCCAACATGGAGTGAGGACAATTGAGGGAGGTTGATCGAAACAGGGTTGAAACGTTTTTTTCCACAAGCTATTTTTTCCACAGTAATTAAAAATAATTTGGTTCTGTTTAGACCTTTTTAAAGCACAAGTAAGCGAAAGTACTTCAAACACAGACGTATGTGTTTTTTTACATTATTTACTCTAAATTAATTGAAAGGCTTTTGATTAAAAATAGAAAATCTGAATCCTTTGAAAGAAGACACTGATTTCTCATGTCTAAATATCTGAAGTCAGTCATTCCATAGCTTAAGTGCTTTAAGAACATCTTCCCTTAAGTCTACTCTACAGGAATTTGAAGTCCTTTCTGACTTTGCTGTGCAGAATAGAAATCATCTTTCCTCAGGACACTCAACTCTGAAAATCTTAACATCCACTGACGCAACACCAACATGTTTGACATTCAAAGCCTGGGGTGTTTAAATTCCATAGCTTTCTCTCCAGTCACTCAGCCACATACACATGACCCTGACCCAGAATATTAAGGAACTCTTGGAAAGGGAACAGGTGAATAATATCGGGGCAATACAGGACCTTCTTGGAGATGCTCTCAAATTGTGCTGGAATAATTTAGATTCTCAAATGTGAATCTTAGAAATGAAAACCAAACAGTGAAGCTCTGAGGAGGAGGAACCGTGGACGAAGTTGTGAATAAAAACAAAGAATTCTATGAAGGCCAGTGTGCAGGCACCACAACTCAGTCACACACACAAGACACGCACGAGCAGATCTTTAGGACACCAAAGGTGTATTGGGTCAAACACTGATTGATGACTATAATTGTTTTTGCTTTATTTAGTAGTCGAGGCACAACAGCGTCCTATGGGAAGTTGGTTTGATCTGTTAATTCCTGTTCGTGCTTGTTTGTAGCTTGCTTGTAGTCAAGGGGCTGAATGTAGATTTTTGTCCTTGTCTCTAAAACTGCCTCTATAAATTTATGGATTAGTCTGACAGGATTGTGAAGTAGCTGAGGTGGATGTTTCTGCAAGCTGGAGTTTCATCACCCTCGAGGGTGTGAACATGAACTGTTGAGCCTGGTGGACAAGCTGCATTCTGTATTATTTTTATAGTTTTGATTCTGCCTCACTTCATATAACGTGAGATGGGTCAGTAATGAGAATCGTAGTGATGTGCTTGTGTTTGTATTCGTACAGGTAAGCAGGTGAAGCTGAGCCTGGCCGCTGAGGAGGTGGCAATGTTCTTTGCCCAGATGCTGGACCATGAGTACACCACCAAAACAGTCTTCAGAGAGAACTTCTTTCAAGACTGGAGGAAGGTAAAGGCAAAAAGCCACGTCTTAAATTCAATTTTAGAAATAAAAGGCCTTAAAAAGTATTAAATTGTCCTAAGTTTAGAAGGATCTGCTCTGCCAAGCCAAAGAAGAAGAATCATTCCGTTATACGCAACATCGTTAGTCTATCTCTGGTTAAGATTGTGCATTAGACTAATGCCATTCTAACCAACTGGCTAGCTAGTTGATGAACAAGTGGAAATTCAAATTTATTAATAGATGGCTTGAGAATGATGAGTAATTATGGTGGTTAGAGCCAGTGCCTGGAAGTGCTTATGATACAAACTGCTCTTTGTGTACAAATCAAACTTCAGTCAATGGGAATCAAGGCGGTGGAGTCTAACAGACATAAATGTGTTTATTTGGAACAAGTATATTTTCACTGTTTGTTGTGTCTATCACAAGTTTGTTCTCAAATTCCGCTTAATCGTTTTAAAAGTTTAATTTGTTAATAGCTGTAGACACCCTATACCAGTTTTGGAAGGACTTCAGCTCATCGAAAATGCTTTGTGACAAGTACGTAGGCAGAGCAGACACGACTGAAGAAGTGGTATTAGGAACATGTTTAAATGTTCTTCAATGAGCAAGTGAAGACAGTGTGCGGTTGTTTCTTCTTCAGTTTTGGAAGGAAAAAATAAACCCCCCAACTGCCTCTTACAGCTGATACCTGCATCTCAGAGGTTTATCCCTAGTGATGAAAATGAAATAAACAGAATTTGACGTCTCCGTAAAATTTCAAATAAATCATATTCCCATGCTGCACTAAAGTGTTCTCAGATTTCTTAATGTGAATCATTGGTTTTCCTCCTGCAACATTTCCCTTGATGCTGCCACAGCGCTGATGATTGCAAGCTTTGTCTGCCATGGATAATTTGCTGTATACATGAATAAGTTGTCGTAGCTTAAACTTCATTGTATCAATTGTGTTTACGCTGCTGTTACTTCAGTTTAATAATGCTTACGTTGGCATAAAAAGTACAACATATAAACCGTGTCAGCTTCTGAAAATGTCAGCTTCAGAAACTTTCTCTTGAGAACATCCAATTACAGTACAAGCTGTCTGTAGTTAGAGCTTCGTGTTAGAATACGTGTGTTTATGTGTGTGTATGTGTGTGTGTGCGTTACAGGGTGTCAGGTTGTCCTCTGTGTAGAGAAAACACAAGTGCCAAGCCCCAAGGCATATCATGCAGAATTAATTTTGCGCTGCTTAGTGCTCAATGCACTTGAAAATACGATTTGTGTGAAGGCATTGATATGCTAATCCATACAAGTAGCTCCCCTGCATATGAACAAATCCAATTAAAGTGTTTTATTATAGCCGGAAAAAAACTCTCCTCGCTCCACTGCCCTCAGTGCCCGCCCACTGTCGGGTGTCAGTCATGCTTAGACACGCAGACTGACTGCGTGTCCACACTGTCAGAGTGTGTCTGCAGAGGGGTGTGTGGATGTGGATGTTTTAGTACATGTGTGTTTATGTAGAGGAGTGTTTTTACATCTCATCTCCTGTGACCCTACACAACAAAACTTCAAGAGGGGGTCTGCTCTGAAAAACCTGAAAGATGAGTCATTACCTTGATCCTAAATGTTCAGGATTAATTTGTCAATTTAAGTCTTCCTTATATTACGATCTATGTTTTTAAGTGATAAATATTGTTGATCTTTTTAATAGCACTGCTGTGGTGGGTGTAAAAGTCAGCCTGTAGTTCCTGCTGCAGCACCTTTCTGGCCCGACAGCAGCAGGCCATATTAAAAGCTTTCATGTTGTCATTACGTTTTAAAACCAGACGATTCTGAGTGGAATCATTTAGTCTTCACTGAGACACTCTGTCTGTTTGCCGTGTTAGTGACCTCATCAATAGAATGACCCTTTGTGCAGCAACTTTAGAAAGTTGACAGTTAAAGTTGAAACTCAGCTGCTGCAGTGTCGACACTGTTGGTGTAGCTGGTACAGAGAGGAAATGGTCTATACTCTGGCCTTTCATAACGACACCACTTTCCTTGTCCTCTGCGCCTCCATAAAGATGAGTAATTAAATTAAAGGTCACTGATCTGTTCTGATCATGCTTGTCGTATTTGGTCTTTATGATACATTATTGTTGTAATGCGTTATTTGAACAGACAAAGGTTCTGCACACTCGATTAATAGCTCCCGGTAAATTTAATAATGCAATGTTGTGTGCAGACCTTTTATCTGCTTCCTCCTCAAGTGAAAGGATTTTGACTCGGCACATTAGTATTAAAGATGTGTGCAGAGGTTTTGAGTTAAAAAACTCAGTTTCTAATAAAAGTCGCGGTATTGTTTTAATCATATTATTTAGACCAGTGTGTTTTTTTTTCCAAATTTGTTGTTCTGTAAATTTAAATTAATAAAAAATGCTTTTTGTCTTGCAAATGTTTTAAAAAATGAGCATTTTGAACAATTTCTTCATCAAAAGAAAGTGTAAAACAAGTGAAGTTACAGGAGATATATATCATATTAATGTGTATATGTATTATTTTCAACTCTGATACATGTCTTTCTAGAAACATTGATTCCTGGAATATTAAGGTTGCGGCGTATGATTATTTTGGTTATAGATTAATCTGTGATGATTTGTAGAATATGATTGAAATGTCAATTAGTAATAATTGCCCATCATTTTCCCAGAAGCATTTTTGTCTGTGCTTGATTAATGATTTAAATGATGAGACAACACTTAAGTGTAAGACACTTTGCACGTGTGTAGGAGATGACCCATGAGGAGAGATTACTGATTCAGGATCTTGACAAATGTGACTTTGGAGAGATGCACGCGATGCACAAAGCCAAGGTGGAGGCCAGGAAAAACATGAGCAAGGAGGAGAAACTGGTAAGACTCTAGCTTTTTTCCTTCTGCACGTGTGCTTAATGTTGCTTTCAAATCTTCCTGTTACCGTCTCAGCAAAGTTGGCGTAGATAACTGAGGTTCTGTGTATTTCTTCTGCTCGATATCTTAAGGATTTGAAAAAAGCCAATCAGAAGATAGTGGATGAGTATGGCTTCTGTCTGCTGGACCACCACAAAGAGCGTATCGGCAACTTTAAGATTGAGCCTCCAGGGCTGTTCAGGGGCAGAGGCGAACACCCAAAACAGGGCATGCTGAAGAAAAGGATCCAGCCAGAGAACGTCATCATCAACTGCAGCGAGTAAGAGTGGGACTGTGACAAGATTTATTCACTCACTTCAAGAAAATAAACCAAGACCTCAGTGCACAAAGTGTTTTAAAGTTTGGATTCACAGAGAAACCACTTCTATCTTTTCTAAAAAGTACATTAACATCTTTCTTGGAAGGCAACAAAGCGTAGCCATTTTGACAGCTGCACAGATTATGGTAATACACTGCAACACAGAATGTCTAACCAGTAGAATATGATTTGTATCGCTCAAGAATTATAGTTATGCATGACTTATTCACTCAGTGGCCTTGTGTGCAGAATGAAAAAGTTTCTTGTACTCATGTGTTCCTTCACAGTGATTGAAATTACATTTGCTGTATCTATATCAGGTACTGGTGTCACACATTTATGTTCAGCAGGTTTTATCCAGGTCAAGTGCTCCACTGCTGCAACTGCTTATGTGCATTGTTTTTTTTCCTTCCGACAGAGGGTGTGTCCCGGTGCCCCCTGTTGGTCACCGCTGGAAAGAAGTTAGACATGACAACACTGTGACGTGGCTGGCCGGCTGGACTGAGAACATCCAGAATGCCAATAAATACGTCATGCTCAACGCCAACTCAAAACTCAAGGTAAGCCGTGAGTCTGATGCAAACAGGGAACTTCCTCCTACTAAAGAAGACACAGGGATACTAGGCTTTAAATGTGTTTAGGTAGGTCTCCATTTTGTCGTCTTGGCTGTGGTAAAGACTGGATATCTGCTGTCTCTGCCTAAAGTATACAGGATAACATGGCATATCGGGATTATCCTCTGCTAGGCTACTTCACCCTACCCTTGATTATGAGAAGTTATAAGTCATAAATTTCATTCAATATTGTATAAAATATTGTACTTGTTGAAACTTGCAGAACCCCAGCAGAAAGGACATTTCTTTGCAGAGGAAACAGATTTGCTTGGATGTTTTTGTTGCTTAACTATTAAAACTCCATAATGGTGGCTGTGTGTGAGTGTAAATCAAATCCCCTGTGGGTTATCTGTGTTATTCTCTCCCATTTGCATTCTTGCTCTCCTCCCCCTCATCTTTCATGTGTAAAGGTTAAGTTATTCCACTTAGTCTCTGTGACAATATGCATGTGTGACTGATGATGGGTTTAATTGTTTTCTTGGTCTCAATATAATAACCAACAGAAGAGAGAGAATTTTCTCATTAGAGTTGTATGCTTTTATATTTTATGTTGTGCGAGTCTGCACAGTCTGCACTTATGTCATGATTACCATCGGGAAAAAACAATCTTATATGACACCTTTCAAGGAAAATCACATCATGTTGTTGTTTTGTTTCTTAAGTTCTTGGTTTTCAGAGAAAGCTCACTTTCACTTCTTATTTCTGCTCTCACTTCTTGTCATGCTGTCAATGCAGGGAGAGAAGGACTGGGAGAAATACGAGGTCGCCAGGAAACTGAAGACATGTGTGGACGATATCCGTAAGCAATACCTCCTGGATCTGAAGTCTAAAGAGATGCGCACTCGCCAGAGAGCTGTGGCCCTCTACTTCATAGACAAGGTCTGGTTCTGTGATGTCGCAAGGAAAACTGAAGTTTAATGTTTACACAGAGAGAGAAACCTTTGTCAGTGTCAGATTCTCCTTAATGCTCAGGTCTAATACCGAGGGCCATGTGGACGTACTGGAAATCAATGCAATGTGTCTTGATTGCCTCTTCTCTTTTCTCTCATAGCGAGATGGAAGATCTTTTACAAGAAAAAAATTGATTATATGTAGCCATTTTCTTCCCCAAGCTAATCCCAGTCTGCACTGAGTGAAAAGACAGATTGAGTGTGTGATTGCTTTTGGCTTGTGCCAAAGACCATTTCAATTCAGATTCAGCTTTGTTGTGTTAATTATGGACTTTAATTCTACTTAATGTCACTGAGTATTTGTGTTTGTAAATACATTTAATTGTCACCTGATTTTTCATGTGTGCTCTGTGAATGAAAGAGATGGTGGTAAGAGAGCTCGATGTTTGTGTGTGTTGGCTTTGATGTGTGTTTATCTTTGCATCTTCTGCACCAAACAAGCTGGCACTGAGAGCTGGTAATGAGAAGGAGGAGGGTGAGACGGCAGACACGGTGGGCTGCTGCTCGCTCCGTCTCGAGCACATCACCCTGCACGAGAAACTGGACGGCAGCGATTGTGTGGTGGAGTTCGACTTCCTGGGTAAAGACTGCATTCGCTACTACAACAAAGTCCCTGTCATCAACAAGGTAAAGGAACAAAGACGCACTATGTGATTAACACCTCCGGCCCTGCCTTCATCCTCTCCACCTTTCATTTGTTGTTTGGATCTGAAATGTAATTTTGTAAATATTTTTATGCTACTTAATGTAGTTCATAAAACACTCCATTGGAAAAAACATCACCAAAACACTCCAAAATAAGGGCTGTTCATTGAGATACAAAACACCCAACATATTTCATTATTATAATCTAGGTGTTGCCCTTTGAGTTTTGGCAGAAGTCCCTGCAGAGAAGGTCACATGCGTGCATTTTGACACACGCACAGAGCCTGACGCAGAGGAGGAACTGAGAAATGTCCTCGAGTCACAGTTGTAGATTGGATTCTTGTGGCTATGCTGGTTTAATTTGTCCGTTAGAACTGCTGAACTCTGCTCTTGGATTACATCTTCATGAGGGAGAATTTTTATCCTTTCAAATGAGGTAACCTGAAGCTGGTTATTGCATCCAAGCAAGTAAACTGGTCACGCTTCTAATCTCAGTAGAGCACATACCTCGATCAAGGCCCTATAGTCCACTTACATTCAGTCCAGCTGCACCAAATTACACACACTCATAAATATCAGGCCCCTAAATGTGCCTGAATTTTTACATCAAGATCCATGAATTATTTCCATGTATCATTATTGAGAATAAATTTCTGGATCTGTCCAAACATTTTATGGATTCTTACTTGACCCATACCCCTCCATCCTCCTCACGGTAATCCATCCAGTAGTTTTTATGTAATGCTTCTAGCTATGACAGACAAACAAACACAGATGAAAACATAACCTCTTAACATAAGGTAATGATGTGTTTTAAGATTAAATGATGTAGCCTAAACACCAGTTATATGGGCTTGTCCGATTAGTGACTAAAGCTGTAGGGTCCCTTGTTTAGGTTGGGGTTAGGTTAAGGTCAGAGTTTTGGGCTAAGGGTTTTTCAAGTAGTGGTTATGGTTGCAGTCAGTTCTCAGGAAATGAATTATGAAGGGTTTGTAATGTTCCCTAAAGTTGCCTATGACAAAGTGTGTGTGTGTGTGTGTGTGTGTGTGTGTGTGTGTGTGTGTGTGTGCGTGTGCGTGCGTGCGTGCGCTGTGGGAGCATGCATATGTAAATTTTCAACCCCTCCTCTGGTGTCGGCCCGGCTATCTTCTGCTCCAGAGATGGAAAAAGAAATGTTAGCACCTGACAGCCAAAGTGTTTTGTTTCTTGGCAGAACATATAATTATGCATATGTGCATTCAAAAGCAACATATTAGTTAGTATTAATTAGTCCCTCGCATATTTTAGCATCAGAAATTCCCAGGGAAATCAGTTGGATTGCAGCTAAATGTCACTCGGTATAAAATGGAAGGATAGCGGGAAGACATTTTCATTTTTAACCTCTGGTGGGGGTTAAAAATATCTAATGATACTTGGGGTTATAAATATTTGATGTATAAGATAATAAGCGATCAATATGTGTTTTCTTTGCCTTTTGCACATGGGAATTCTTCATGAAGTGACTCATTACCACCTTAGTGAATCTTACATCAGAATGACGCTGAATGACTTTATCAAACAGCCCGACTGTGGGGACACCTGCAGCTGCATAAATGTTTTCTGTTGAGTACTTTAAGCCTGTTAAATATTTATATATCTATCTGTTTTAAATTATTGTTTCCATCTCAGCAAATACACACACACACACACACACACACACACAGACACTCACACACTCACACACACACACTCACTCACTCACTAGACCAATTAGGAAAGTTCCCTTTGGTGTCTCTGCTTCTCTAACTTCTAGACACTGATTTATTTATTTTTGTTGTCCACTTGCATGTTTCTTTTTTTTATATTTTCAGTTGATTTGCTGGGGGGGGGGGGTTGCCACACAAACCAACAAGTGAAATATGTCAGTCTGGTTTATAAAGCAACACATCTGTTGCTTTTAATTGGTGTCTGGCACATTTCACTGGTTTATTTGGGGACTGGTGCATCTGTGGAGTTGCTGGAAATGTCAGATATAATTGTGTCAATTTTACTCAGGCTCCAAACACATGCACACTGAAGACCTTATATGTAAAGTGAATTATAATGTGTATTTACTGTGTAATTTCAACATTTATATTTTAGATTTAAATGAAAGTAGCTTTTAAAAAACCACTGCCACATTCCACCTCTCCTGTTGAATTTATTGATGTTGAAGGTAATTTAATCTCCAATGTTTTGCTCCCAACTTATTCAAATTGCCCTAGTCAGCCCTGTAATGTTGACAGTGTTGCATGAATGTCCTTACCAGAGTTTGTGATGGATGACAGGACAGCTCCCTAAGGGAAGGCAAATCATCTGGATTGCCCCCTGGTGGCTTGCTGCAGTATAGGTCCTCCTCCATGTCAGTGGATGGGACATGGGCCAAACTAAAATGTCTTTAGTTTAATAGTTTTGTCCTTTTTTGGTAGTTCTTGTCACACTGATGTATGTTCATTGTTAAATTTACCGATAGGTTCGGTTTTTATTAGTTATTTGATGCGAATGGGGTGAAACGTCATGATTGACAGCTGAGTATGACTTGCAGTTGTTTGAGTGGGACCACGACACGGCGGCTTCACGTCAGAATTACTACCGCACAGACTTCAAATGACATAAAAAGCACAAGATGGCGGCACCTGTATAGGGATATTTAGCTAAATATTTGTACAACAGGAGGAAGTATGTCACATATTTATATAGTCAATGATCCAGATTTACTCCGTTTATGTAGACCTCAAGTGAAACAGAAACAATTATAAATATTAGTGTTACATACTAGAATTTTTGTTTTTAATCTGTGTGTATGGTTTCAGGTTTTTAAGAACCTTAAACTCTTCATGGAGAACAAAAAACCTGGAGATGCACTCTTCGACAGACTTGGTGTAAGTATTTCTTTAAATGTTTTGCATGTTTTATACCCACCCCACGTTAAAGATTTATTTTTTGGTAAAAACATTGCCAAGCTAAGACTCTACATCTTGGTATTAAGAAAGCAAGTGTTCAAAGAAAATGTTCAGGTATCAACTGCTCACAAATAAAGAGTAACTGATTTTTATTCTTGGGGGTTGTGAAAAAGTGTGAGAAACCCCCTGAGGTGAGTAATATTTGAAGAAGGGACTGAAAGTGAAATAGAGTTACATTTTTTATATTTTCTGGGGACAGAAGGGTATGGTAAAGGAAGAGCAGGGACTAAATTGTAAGGTGTAAGAGATGAGATTGAATAAGGATGAACCATTGGTGTGGAGAGATGAAAGGGGTAACGTGAGGAAATGGGAGATGAGGAGAAGAGGAAGAATATTGGAAGCGAGGAGAGTGAAAGCAGAAAAGGAGTTTCAAAAGAGAGACAGGATGGACTCTGGCAGATAAAAATGAAACTGTGCTTGTGAAAATTGAGAGTGAACATGGTGGGCAGATGAATTTCTACACACACAAAAAAAATCTGCCGTCCTTTCAACCTCTTCATTTAGCTGCAGGCAGCAGGGCCACAGAGAAGTGAGGTGACTCCTCCACAAGAAGCCGTTGGGATTCTCAGGCTGCTTGTCATGATAAAACAGAAAATCAACAACATTATTTGAATCTGTACGTCATGTTGTCCTCTGGGAAACATATTCAGTATCAATCAATACACAGGTTAGTTACGGTGGAAACCAGGCGACAGCAGCTTGTGACCTTGAGTGTTTCGTGAAACACTCAAAGAGGTTGTAGGTGTGAATGTATGCAACAGATTATGGCCAAATCAGAAGAGAAGTGTTTAAGGAAATGGAGGGAGGAAGATATGCTGATAAGAAAGCACAAGGATGGCATGAGAGGCAGCTGTATTATAAAGACTGACAGGCGGGAAAATGAAGACCCCAGACCGGACAGGAGTGAGAGGGTGAGAAGGAGCAATTGCAGGGAGGGAGTGTGGTGCCTCTGCTCTCTGCCCTCTAGTGTGTCGGGAAATGTCAGGGTATGTTGGAGGTGGAATGGTAATGGCTGCTGTGGGCAGGCCTGATTGACACCTGGAAAGGCCAGGCCACAGAGAGCGGAGGTGTGTGTGTGTGTGTGTGTGTGTGTGTGTGTGTGTGTGT